GGAGTTATTTCTCCCTTTTGCTGAGAAACTCTGTCAAGTGCGAAGTCAATGGGCATATTGTTTTCACACATTCAGAGGGTGTTAGGTGTGCACTTGGGGAACAGCAGTGTTTTCCAATGAACTGTCTGGTTTTATTCATTTTGGAATGTCTTCATGTTCCTCTGCAAATTACAAAGAGAGGATCTAACTTTCATGAGTATGATTTCTCTTGGTGATTGAGACATTTGCTCAAAATTGAGCAGCAGTTAAGAGTTAAAATTCGATAGCCTAATTTTTAATGTTAAAATTTGTGATATTCTAAGATACAGTGTCCACGATTCTCTGCAAGCACTGGTAGAGATGCAGATGGGACAGAATTGAATATGAGTTGATAATAGTGGGAGCCATGTGATAGAAATTTGGGAATTCATTGTATCATTCTCTTTACTTTTGTGTATCTTAGATTTTCTTTTTTTTTTTTGGTTTTTCTCCGGTACCGGGAACCGAACTCACGACCTTGCGCTTGCCAGGCAGGCACTTTTGCCGCTGAGCTAAATCCCCAGCCCCATATCTTAGATTTTCTATATAAGTTTGAAATGAGAGAAATGATGTTATACCCTAAGATAAGTGGTGGATTTAGGAAGAAATAGAGCATCAGTGATTTGAATAAAATCTGTTAAAACACACATACACACACATGCACACATCTGTATGACATTGCTATGAATGAATGGTTTCACTGTATTCCTCATTATGAAACTTAGAAGCATGTTCACTTAACTGTCTCAGTGTGGCAGATGAATTTCCAAAGACATCCACAACACTCTTCAGTGCTATTCTCAGTGTGACTTTGACACTCCTTCCAATGAGTAATGGGGGGACCATCTACTCCTTTGTATGTGGGAGGGCTTGTGGCTCTGACAGGAGTCATACTGTTATAAAGGCTATGCTGTAAAGGTGAATACATTCTTCCTGAATCTCTGTGTACTCGCTCCTACAACCCCACATCTTACTGTGAGTAAGCACACACCACCCTTGTAGTGCTGTATGTAGCACCGTGGGTGGGAGATCCAGCCGATCACACCTTCTTAGGACCAGCCTGTCAGCCAGTATCAACCTTCAGGTAAATGGGGAGTGCGTGAGCTTCTCAGTTACCATGCCCACCCATCTAGTCACCCTTAGGCTCTCAGTCTCCCCCAAGGGCCCTTGCCATGGTGCAGCCCAACCTTTTCTGTTGTCACCATTCTGAGTTCTTATCAGTACACTCTGTCAGCATCATAAAATGTTCATCGAATTATGCCACTGTGTTAAGAATGATTTGTTACACGGCACTAGGAACCAAAACAGGCCATATCTTAGTGAGGGAGAAGAGTATATTATTTCTCAGTGATCAGTTTTTCCTGCTTAGAAGCTACACACATTCTCAGTGACTGTGTTTGTCATTATATTTGTTTTTGTTTTTGTTTTTTTCCGGTACCAGGAACTGAACTCACGACCTTGTGCTTGCCAGGCAGGCTCTGTGCCGTTGAGCTAAATCCCCAGCCCCTTCAGTGACTGTGTTTGGATGAAGTTTTGAGGTTTCCATCAACATGATAATGTCCAAATCAGGAACTGTGTAGTAGACCATCTTGTTATCTGAATTGAGTATTTGTGGCTGGATAGTCAGGTGTGTATGGACTTCTTGCCCTGCTGGACTGAGCACTGTGGCTTTGCCTTTTTTTGCCCTTTACACTGAGTGGATTGGGGCAAAGAAGAGAGCAGCATGCTCTGAGGTCTGGATAATGGACAGGAGATCATGGAGCCTTTTTAGCCTGAGTCTTTGCTGCTTTTACTATGAAAACTACACTATTTGTTGCCACACACATCACTGCTGCTTCTTCTAGCAGCTTCCATCCCAGTGTCTTGACTCCATATTGTGGGGGAAAAAGAATCTACTTTTCTCAATGAAAAAACAATAAAAAGATTGTTCAGAGCTTCTTCTAAGACCTGTGTTATACCCTGTATACAAGATGTTTTACCCAAGGGTGTATCACAGCATCTGCCAGCTATGACTGTATGTATAGATTTCCTTTCTTGGGCTCTGTGATGCATCCACAAACATTTGCTATGTTTTTATTAAATATTTTATGCCTTAAGTATTTTATAATATGCACACATACATGATAGTAATTGTTCTTCTGCACTTTTGTCATTGATATCCTGTGACACCTACGAGTCTCATAATAATTGAATTTTGCCAGTAGTCTATTCTGTGCATGCATTCCTCCAGTGATAACGTTAAGATATTTGAAAGATTTTATTTTGTTGCGTGTTCAAGGGGAAAAAAACATTAGAAATATCCCTGCGCATGATCTCCTGCTTGAAGGTCAATAAGCTGTCCCTGATAAAATAAACATTGTGCATGAAAATATTACCTTCCTCCATTATAACAGAATGAATTTTAATGTATTATTCATCAAACTAACCCCAACCAGTTTCCTAAAAAAGTTGCTAAACTACAATGAGATACTTGTTACAAATAACAAAATATCATGTTAAAATGAAATGCTTAAAACGTTACTTCTGGATCTTCAAACATTCAACTGCTTGCTATGCAATGATAGATGGATTTTGCCCAGTATACTATTAATGTTATAATTATGACGTGGAATGAGAAATGTTATTCTCAGCAAATAAAATCTATGCAAAAAATGCTGGTAGATATGTAGAATTAAAGAAGATAATTTCCTTGTGTGGTCTATTACCTAGTGAGGTAGAAAGAGCTAAAAGAAATAAAAATGGAGGAGAGGGTGAGTTGAATCAGTCATCTTGGTTGATAGGTACCGAAAATCATGGGCTGGAGCTTCATTTTAAATGGCACTTTCAGAGATATTGTGAGGGGAACTAAGATTCATCATTATCTTAAGGTTCCATACCAGCTCCTGAATAGGAAGACTTAGGACAAAAACACTTGAAAAGTGTACTTTTGCTTACCTCCTACTCTGAGTTTGTAGGCTTCTCTTTGTGCTGCTGAAAGGCTATGTATCAGGGCCTCGGGATGCATCTGTAAGCACTAGGAATTGTGTATTTGTTAATTGCACCCAAGTCTGAAATACTATCTGCTGGCCCTGGAATTGGAGCTAGAACAGTTTCCATGTACTGTTTTGTAAAAATGATGCATCAAGATTGGTGCAGAAATACAAACATGATGAGCAATGGCAGCAGTAAACCGCAGGAAGATGTTAACGAGGGAGAAGTTCTGTGGAGCCTTACACCGCTGATTTTGTCTTTATAAGGAACAAGGCTCTGGGGCTAGGGGGTGAGCTAGTTGCCAGTCTTCTTTGGGCTGCTCGTTCACAATCATCCCCTTCTTAACTTTACTCGTTCCAGCACATTCCTTGTTTTTACTGTGGCAAGAAACTAATGAGTAACCACCACCACTACCACCACTGACTCCACATACCCTAAAACATAACCTCCCGACAGCTTCAGAATGTACAGAGCGGTACTGTCAACCACATGAACGGTGCTCTGCAGCGGGTCCCATGTATGGAGCACATTCATTGTGATGTTCTGTGTTTGCACAGGATCCTACCATCTAGGTACATTGTGACTTTACTCAGAGTTGTACTTACTGTGCTGCTACTCTGAACTTCAGGAAAAGGTTTTCAATGCTGTGCAGTTGTGTGAAAGATGCAGTAGCCAACTTTAATCATTGAGCAATTAGATGCACATAAGGATGCATTGTTAGAGATCATCTGTCCACTCCTGAGTGTTAGCCTGAGACCAATAAAACACTTCCTGCAGTGCGTGTGCAGGTCTGAAGAGTAGAGCCATTGTGAAGAATAGCATGAGAGGGGGCTGAGGATACACCTCAGGGGTAGGGCACTTGCCTGGCATGCATGAGGCTTTGGGTTCCAATTCGAGCAACACAAAGAAAAAGAAGAATATCACAGTAGGATTATTGGACAGTCCTAGTTAACCTGATATTTCAAACTTGTACCTTAGTAATAATTACTATTTCCTCTGAAATAGCCCATCATCCTGCTTACAACTTAAAGCTCAGAGAATTTGTTTCTTGTGTGTAGACCACACTGTGATAAGGACCTTTATTTATACCCATGTCAATTTAGAATTATTCTCCACATACAAAAAATACCAGTGTGGTCCTCTTTGTACGAGTACATCTCTTTCCCCATAATTATATCTAAAGCTTTTCATAGCACAATTTTCTGTTTTACTGCCAAAATTTATTTCAACCCATTTTTCACTACTAGGAACTAGTTTATCTCTCACCTTTTGTTTGTTTTAATTTCAAAGGGGATACAGTGTCCTTTATAATATGAGAGCATTGCATGACATGATTTTATCTCTAGATAATTTGGTTCCTCTGCCTGTCCCTTATGATTTTTCCAGTGCATTTATCACATGCATTAAATGTTTCACTTATCACCTGTATGCCGAAAAGTTTTTTTTTTAAAGCTTTATTTTTTTGGTAAATGTTCAGCCTTGCCAGTTCATTTGTATTACAAGATTGTGGTGATTTTTACGTCTGCAAGATAAGATAACATCTGCTTAGCTCTACAGTTTCCTGAAGATGCTTTTGACAAACCCTGCATTACTGAATATTTTGAATACATTTAGAACTTTGAAACCAAGTCGGGACTCCATTGTTATTAAAAATAAGCCCAACTTGAAAGGCCTGTGGTAAATTCAGTATTCCAGTGATGGTCCAAGTGTATCCCAAGAATTATTTCACCATTAACTGTTAGTACTCCTTAGTGAACTTGTGCTTTTCTGAGATAAATTTGTTAGCAGTGTCTAGCAATGAAGTTTTGTAAACAGTTCAATAGTAAGAGGTCATAGCTCTTATTTTAAAAGTACGTTAGTTTTTTCCAGAAAATCTATTTACCTCCCCCGTTTCCTCCGACAACATAGCCCAGGGTTCCCCAAATCCTCCCGGGTCTTCTTACACATCTGTTTGTCTTTCTGGTGTGTGCCATGTTTGGGAGTCTCGTTAACCAGCATCTGTTCTCTTTTAGAAGAAACCCGACACCAGCCCCACATCACTTCAGCTGCGGTCCCAGATCGAAGTAAGCACAGTGACTTTCACCGTCTAGTTTTGCTTCTGCCTTTTTCTCTTAAGAGATACTCTGTACAAATCAAATGAAGCCTACCGCTCTGCCGGCCCTGATGGTGCCATTCTGCTCTCTTGCAGGAGTCACTTGGCTTCTCTAGCACCGTGTCAACACCTGAAGTGGAAAGAAAGTAAGTCTCCATCTTTTTGCCTGGGACTGCAGTTTCCAGGAAGATGTCTTTTAGGTCCAAACTGATGGCAATCAAACGTGCAGTGGTGTGTGTGTATAGTTTGAAATTTGGTGTTACTTTCCTTAACATGTGAGTGTATGTGTCCTGGTGTTGAGAGTGTGGTCTGCAGTCCAGTTGGTGATGCCTGAAGGCTTATGAGACATTATTTATTTTGCACAGCTTATTGTGAGGGAACCCCAAATAAGTATCTGAAAATAAGGAAAAGGACAGGTAAGTCAACTAAGATGGGTTTTCATCTTTTACATTAATATTTAATGTAGTAAGTCAGAAAGAAGCAAAGTACAAAAATCAGATGCATTCCCAGCTATAATAACAGTAAAAAAAAAAAAAATTAAAAAAAAAAAAAAAAAACAGCCATTGCACCTTGTTTCTGGTGGGTGTGACCTTAAAAATGAATGTGTGTGTGTGTCAGAATCTGGCAAATGCCCACTAGCCCTTCCGGTTAAAGGGAATATTTTTGTTTCCCTGTCCTAACTTGGACCCTGTAATTTCTACTCTCATGGAAGATAATGTTATGTTTTGTCTTGTATTTTCAGTATTTCTTTTACGCAACTTGGGGAAAAAAAAAAAAAACCACAAAAACAAAACAAATATTTTTATAACGTTTCCCTTTCCTACTTTCTTCCATCATAATTATTCTCAATGTTCTATGGGTGATCTTCTGAGGTAAAGAAATTTAAAGAAAAGCCACCTTTCTAAGCAGATACTTCCTCTGGCACAGAGCCATCTGCACCGTCTCATGCCAAGAGCCATAGAAGTGGTTCAGGAATGAAGCATTTCTGGAATGAGAGCGCACGTTGGGAGAGCGTGTGTGTGCTTTGCAGCGCGGCTCTGCCTAATCCGTCCACGTGTGCGCTGCTGGCACAGAGGTGGCTTCAGGGAGTGGAGGCCGCTCTGCCAGGAAGCTCCGGTCCTGAGCCTGTGAGGCCACGTTGGTCTGTTTCAGGACTGAGGAACAGGGTTAGGGTGAGCCGGGGAAACCCAGGCCATTACCCATTCAGGTTAGAGAATAACTACACACACAACGCACAGTTCTTCCTTGGTTGTGTTGTAACCTCTCAGGCATCTAGAAATATGGAGGTTGCCTGAAAGGGCTAAGATTTAAGCTGATGTTGGTTTTTGAACTTGGAAGCCCCGCAGTGGTGGTGAAGTGCCGAGTAAGTGGGCGGAGGCCTCTCCTGGCCTAGTTACCACAGGTTTTCTCTCAGAATGTCCACATCCTTCAGGAGGCAAAACATGTCTGCCCTTCCACCTAGGAGGAAGTGGCTCACCCAGTGTATACTGACCTTAGTTAAGCGGGCACTTCCTCTCAATTGTGGTGAAGTCATTCTTTCCGAGTTTGTCTCCTTGGTACAGTATGGCATGCCTGCTGTGGCCAAGAGAGAGACTGACAGCCTCCTGAGGTTAACAAAAAATTTCCATCTCACACACACACACACACACACACACACACACACAGACTCTTGACAGCACCCATCTGCTCCATTTCTAGTACTGCCATTTTGCTTCTGAATTTTAAATGGTTCGAACTTAGGACTTTCTAAACATTTTTAAAGATTTAAAACATCATGTTCTTCATTTCTTTATTAATGGCTTTGGAAAACTGTTGTACCTTGAATTTTTAAAAAATGTGTAACTTACAAAACCCTGGCCAGGCACAGTGGTACACGCCTGTAATCCCAGCTGCTTGGGAAGCTGAGGCAGGAGTGTCCCAAGTTCAAGGACAGCCCAATTCAAGGTGAGACCGACTTAGTGAGACCCTGTTTCAAAATTAAGAAATACAATGGGCTGGGGATGTAGCTCAGTGATAGCATGTTCGTAGGTTAAACCCCCTGCCCCCCCCAAAAATTAATAATGAAAGTAAGATGAAAAACTAAAAGAACTTCTCTGAAAACTTTTAAACGTTTTATAAAAGTGCAGGATTCTGCAGTGACATGTAGTTTAATAAGACTCACCAGTTCTTGATATTTATGTGATCTTCCTTTCTCTGTAATTCTCTCTCTTCTCTCTTATTCTCTCTCATTTTCTCTTATTCTTTCATTTTCTTTCTCTGTCCCTATTCTCTTCCACCCATTACTGAACCATTCAGAGCAAGTTGTGTACATCATGACTGCCAGCCCTGAATATAGTAGCATGTTTTTTTGGTTTTTTTTTTTTTTTTTTTTTTTTGGTTGTTATATTACATGTCATTATCTGTAGCAAAGTTGCTTAGATTACCAGATGTAAGCATGGAGGGTTGATCAAACCATTAAAGAGAATAAGAAAATAATAATTTAAAAAATCATTAGAGATAATACAGAGTTTCACTAGACAAGATGGTAGGAATTCACCACTGGTTGTTATATTGCATGTTGTTGTCTTCATGTCAGTTGCTCAGATTACCAGATACAAGCATGCAAAATTGGTCAAAATATAAAAAAATATTTAAGTGTTAACTGTTCCTTTCAATAAACCACCAGACGTTGGCAGTACAGTTATCCCAGCTATCCTTCTATATACTGCAATTATTTCTTTAGAAGGACATTCTCTGACAGAACCAGAGTTTTGATAAAATAAAAAGTTTTAAGTTACCCTAATATACATTTAATATTCAAGTTTTTCTGATTGTCTCATTACTGTCTTTTATCACACTAAAAAAAATTCATTACTTAATAAATGACTCTAGGCATTTACATGTCCTGATTCTTTTGTCACATCTGACCTGGACATCTCTCTTAGTCTTTCTTGGTATTGACAGTTCTAAGAGGGTGGGCTGGTTGCTTTGTCAACTACTCTTTGTTTGGGGCTTGTTTGTTTCTTCTCTTTTTCTCCCCAGGGCATTACATAAGGAGGCACGTGATGTCTGTCTGTCCCATGATTGGTGACGTGGAATTTTGATCATTTGGTGAAAGTGGTTTTTGCCAGGTTTCCTCTGAAAAGTTGCAGTTTTCCCTTTGTAATGAAAAAGATTTTGTGGGAGGTCATCTGAGTCTGTGTAAATACCCTGTTCCTCATCAAACTTTTTCCTACTGATTTTAGATTTTTTAAATGATTCTTGACTGAATCAATTTTGAACATAATGGTTACATAATAGCAATACATATTCTTAAAATGATGGTTATTTAGATTAAGTGTTCTAAATGGGTTTTATTTTTGGTTGTGTTTTCTGTTCTTAAAGATGAGGTATCACTCTGAAAGCCCTTGGTCAGATGATACTTTGAGTAGGTTTGATGTACTGTTTATGTTGAAACTTTATTTATTGTGCAAATGCAAATATGTTCAAATGGAAAATCCCACTTCCTGCCATAGAATTCTTGCTGGTAGCTTTGCAGTTGGGTATTACAGCTATGCGGGGTGACTGGGCAAACCAGCTGGTTGTGTCTGGTTAGTGTCCACAAAGTATTTGCCAACCAAAATATTATTCTGACTCATAGAGTGTTGCATTATGGGCAGAGATGTTTTGCTTTTTATTCAAAAGGCAAGAGAATCAGCAAACAGAAGTATACACGCCCTGCAGCAGCCACCCTTTGAGACAGAGATGCAGCGACGAGCCCATGTGGGGAATGGAGCCCTTGCCCCCTGGCTTCTCCCTTGGATCCACAGTCCCCCCAGTTGTCTCTGGGAGCTTGTGAATGTGCTTCCTTCCCTCTCCCAGCTAAAACATATCCAAAGGGAGGGATCTGGCATGAGTTATGACACAAATATGTTTCTAAAAAAGATGCCACTTTTCCCAGCGGTGTTTAACAGCATTTAAAGTCTTAAGTTACAGAAAACAGAAGATGTGGCAGTGGTGGGTCTTTTGTAGAGGAAGACAGGACCAAGAACTGAACCATATTTGGTGTCACAGCACCTGGGTGGGGGGAGCTTCTCACCACTCAGGGACACATCGATAGAGATAGGCAGGAACATAGGCAGATGGGTCAGCAGAAAGAAAGAATGAATGCGTCCCACCATCACCATTTGAGAAAACTCATGCTTCCACTGGGAATATAGTAACGGAGCCATGGGGGGCTTTCATTTGAGTCTTTTCTTTTTATATCTATTTATGTTGCCTACTGGGAAGACCTGTGAGTACTTTATTATACTTGAACGTTATTATACCAGTTTTGGATTTGTGTTAACTGGCTGGAAAGGTGAACATTAGCGGAATTTCTTGTGACCAGCTAATCTCTAGAATGTATAGAAAGTAAGGTCAGGTATTTTTGTGGTTATTGTGGGGAGTTGGGAAATATCTTTATAACTGTGTCCATGAGGAGTGAGGTCAGGTGTAAATAACAGAAGACCTGACGCATAGTTGGCATAAACAAGTGTGGGACTCATGAGACACGTCTTGGTTCCGTGGGTAGACAGGACAGGTCCAGGGTTGGCCCCATGGCTCCACAGCCTTCCAGGAACCCAGAGCCCCGCAAAGACCTCAAAGTGACCGCTTCATCTTCTAGGCATGAAGGAGGAGCACAGTGAAGGGAAGACGACAGCAGGGCAACGCCACATCCTTTCCACAAGCTTTTCTGGACCGCTTACCCAGCCCTTTCCAGTTTATTGCTCTAAGCTCTTCACGCAGCAGCAATTTACAGAGCACCTGCTCCGGTGCTGCTACTGTGACGAGGGCACCGCGTGAGGGAGCTGCATGGAGTTCACAGTGGAAGGCAGAGTAATGCAACAGGAAAAACGTGCATTTTACATGGTGGTATAGAGTCAAATAAAGCAAAGAAGAGGACCCAGACCCGGGTCATTTGCCTATCCAACCTATAAGGAAGTTTTCAGCAGTGAGCATTTTTAACAGAAGGGCACTGCTGCCTTGAACAAAATAATAGGTTCTTCTTAGGACCAGGGGAGATGTTCTATAGGAAACTGGTATTACTTCTCATGAGAGTTCATCTTTATTTGTACACCTATAAAACAAGACTCTGACAGGTAGCTAGATTTCTAGCAAATAAGCAGCATGTCAAGATTGTTTGGGT